TAAAAATTAGCATAGTAAGTTATTATTTATGTTTTCAAAAAATAAAAATCAAACATCAAATAGTTATCAATGACAAAACTCAACCATCAGAAATATTTAAAAGAATATATTTCTATAACTATTTTCTTGATTTATATTTAATTATAATATTTATATCTTAATTTTAAATTTTATATTAGAAAAGCATATTTTCAAGATAACAATATGATGCGTAAGTTATTTATTTTCTGAAAATATAGTATGATAATTTTTTTAACTATATATTAATTATATAAGATTATAGAAATTATGACATATAACTAAAATTACCTAAAATCATTGAGAACTTAATGAATCAGCAAATTCACTTCTTAAATATTTTTTCTTGAGTGATGATTTATATTTAATTAATAATAGATAATTTTCTATTTTACTTTTAAACTATATAATATAAAAATATATTTTCAAGATAACAACATAATACATAAGAATTACTATATTCTCTAAATGTATAATATTATTAAAGTAAAATTATTTCAATTATAGAATAACTACAACTTTTTATATCTTAATTTTAAATTTCAAATAGAAAATATATTTTCAAGACAGTAGCTTAATACATAAGAAGTATTTTATTTTTTAAGAATCTGATACTATAAATATAAATTTGTTTTAAATATATAATATAAAATTATATAAATTAATAAATTATCAAAATTACCTAAGATCATGGAAAATATGACAAATCAGCAAACATCAAATTCACTTCTTAAATAATATTATAGATTTTTTACATGTTAATTTTAAATTTTATGATAGCAAAATATTTTTTTCAAGATAACAGCATAATACATAAGAACTAACTTATTTTCTAAAATATCATATTATTAATATAAATTAGTTTTAATTATATAATCAATAATAAACAAATTATGGAAATTCTGATAAATGATCAAAATTACCTAGGATCATAGAGACAAATCAACAAATTCACTTTTCAAATTTTTTTTTTGATGATTTATATTTAATTATGATTTATATTTAATTATCAATATTAAATTATTAATATTAATTCGTTTTAATTATATTTAAATATCAAATTATTAATATAAATTCGTTTTAGATAAATATAATAGTGTTTATTTCTTAATTTAAAATTTAAGTTTTATATATAAAAAAATATTTCAAGATAACAACATAATTCATAAGAATTATCTTATTTACTAAAAATCTGATATATTTATATAAATTCGTTTTTATTAAATACTAAATTTTATATGAAATTATTTAAATAAGGTAAATAAACAAATTTACCTAAAAGAACATGACAACTTAACAAATTTACTTTTTAAATAATAGTATAGATTAAATATTAAATTATTAATATAAATCCTTTTTAGATAAATATAATAGTGTTTATATCTTAATTTNCTGATATATTTATATAAATTCGTTTTTATTAAATACTAAATTTTATATGAAATTATTTAAATAAGGTAAATAAACAAATTTACCTAAAAGAACATGACAACTTAACAAATTTACTTTTTAAATAATAGTATAGATTAAATATTAAATTATTAATATAAATCCTTTTTAGATAAATATAATAGTGTTTATATCTTAATTTAAAATTTAAGTTTTATATATGAAAATATATTTCAAGATAACAGCATAATTCACAAGAATTATCTTATTTACTAAAAATATGATATATTAATATAAATTCGTTTTTATTAAATAATAAATTTTTATATGAAATTATTTAAATAAGGTAAATAAACAAATTTACCTAAAATCAAGGAGAACATGACAACTAAGCAAATTTACTTCTTAAATAATAGTATAGATGAGTTTGGCTTTGATTGTTATGACTGATTGCGGTTTGTATTTTGATCTGGTTCGCTGTGGTCAGAATATCCGGTTCAGATATGATATTTAGGATATTTGTGAATCTGTTCAGTTACTTTTCGATCAAGGTCCCGAAACTCTCATGGACTCAACTCAATTCAAATATTTGCATAGGCATATTTTTACAACTAAGTTAGAAAGTAAGTTCGCTCAGTACCACATATCTGTTCTGGTAGGGTTCTATTCAATTATAGGTGTAGGTTACTTTGAGACGGCAATAAACTGAAGAGGGAAAAAAATTACTTATGAATAGATGATGTGAAGATTAGATGATTTGATTGGTCTAAAAAAAATTGACTTGGATGGCCTAAATAAATTATAAATCAATATCTTTTATAGCATATAGATCATCATAGGTTTTAGAAACCTTATATCTATTTATTAT